AACAGATAACGACAAAAAGATGAAATAATAAAATAGATTAATTGTGATAAACGTAGAATCGTATCTGTTGAAAACAATTTTCTCGGCTCCCGGACGTGTGTCTTTTATCTATAAATCAGAGATAATGTATCCGAAAGAACAGCAACATTTTCAATACGAGTATATTAATCACGATTAACGCAAATTACGTAATTGCGGGAGAAGACATTGCATAAAACGGTTTAGCCTTGCCAAGGTGAAAGTCGAAAATATTCCAGTCAATCGACCGTTCTCAGATCGTTTCGATCACTTTCCACTCTCGATGCAACTTTTTATGGTATCGGTCCTTGATCACACATATGAGTATTGGAATCTAAAAGTATTTTATAATTACTCGATTACGTGCTCGAGAGAAACGTTCAAAAGAATCAAGCAAAACCTGTTATTAACATGGAAAAATCTATAAAATAATTATACTAGGAGAATCTAACATGGCAAATATAATTTGTTTAAAAAAAATTACAATATTATCCAATAGCAGAGAAAAATATTTGATTTATTTTGCGAAAAAAAAAATTCCATAGATAGAGTGGAAGATTTTTATTAGAAAATATCACGCAGAAAATGGGTTGGGTTTTTGGACTTGTAGAGAGTTTGGTTTTGTCAAAATGTCCATGTTGGAGCCAGAAAGGGGACCAAGGAGATATATCCATATTAAATTTCTTTCCGTTTCTTTTGCTGTCGGGGAAATTTTTCCGGGAGGGTTTTCGAGGAATCAGAGAATTCCGTCCATGCGCTGACTCCGACGCGGCGCGCCGCATCGTCGGACGAGGCGCACGCACATCTCGCGTGCTCCGCGCGTGAAGCTCCGTGTGGGCGCACCTATCTTTCTCACGACCACAATTAAAACCTTTCCTCCACGCACGCGTGTGTTGCGCGCGTTGCATCGTATCGCGAATGCGGCACGCGCAACACACGTCGTGTTCCGCCGCGAGGATCGAGGACGGAGCGAACGAGGCGTCCGCCTTAAGCCCGTTTCACGCGGCGCTGCATGCTTCCCATCGCGGGGCGTGACGAGATGAAATCTTGGACTCGAAAAAGAGAGTTCTTTCTTCGTTGTATATAAAAATGTAATGAGAGAAATGTAAGCTAATGTTAGATAAATGCGTGATCTCATTTTCTTTTACATTATTCTTTATCTTTAGCGATGTGAAACGTGTGACGTTCGCAGATATTCGTAAGTTACAGGCAATGATATAGGCACGTATATGCAATTATTCGAATTAATGATAATTGCAGCAGCGCGTGATTGCACATTATAAATATTATAAATATTTCAAATATTTTATACATGTATACATATATATATAGAAAATTTGTGTAACAGAATATTAATAAAGAAACAAGAGAAGAAAACAAAAAGGAAGTCGGCTTACATTGCAAAATAATTAAGTTATATTAGCGCTTCACAGTTATTTTTCAATTCTTACATTTTTCTTACATTTTTCTCGCTACACTGAAGATGATTATGAATGAGATGGCGAAAGAAAAAGTTTCCATTTTTATTTATGTCCAATATTTTTTTTTCTTTTTCGTTGTAGTACCACTATGTCACGCAGTATACTGAAGGATTCGCCGAACGCGGCATTGGATAAAACTCTGTTGAAAAAATATCTCGATCTGCCCCAACCGGAGAATGCAGTCCAGGCAAAGTACATCTGGATCGACGGAACTGGCGAAGGATTACGTTGCAAGACCAGAACCCTGAACTTTGTGCCGAAACACGCTTCCGGTAAGTTATTAATATACATCTGACAGATGTAAAATCTTGCATACGAAATTAACTTGAGCGTTCTACTCGGCGATTAAACTGATTTTATTCAATGAATTTCAATATTGATACACAAATAATTACACGGGACGAGTAGCCAGGACTTAATTGAATTGATCGGGCAATTGAATTGCTCGGGCAATTAAATTCCCGTCACTAAATATTTACAGAAAAAAAACCCCTCGTCAGACACGCGCGCAACGTTTTAATGCGTCACAAAGCGACTTTGCAGAAATATAGAATGCATACTAATGTATAGGCAAAACATGTTCAGCATCATCTGAAATGTTTGTTACAGAAAACTAATTACTACGCGTATCCAGTAATAAAAGCACGAGATTATACTCAATAAAGTACAGCAATAAAACTCCTAATTTAATTCGCGTCATTTTATGAAAGAGCAGTTAAACTTTTAATCGCTCGTTTATACGGTGTTATGTATTTGTGAAAAGTCGTTTATCTCGAAATTAAGTCAATGAAATGAATGTTATTTAACTAGTTAGTAGTTATTAGTTAACACTATTAGTTAATCTTGTATTTGCTATTAAAAGCTATAAACTACAACGGGAACAAGAGTAATAAACTTTATATTTGACAATCTTAAATAGTTGACATAATCTCTCTCTCTCTC